TACATATACCGTGGTGAGCAGCCGGATATAATTCTAAAAGTGCATTCGCAATTGATGGAGCGCGATCAGAGACGAACACTAAATCAGCTGAATCAGGAATAATAGTTTGAAGACACCTGAAAAACCAACTCCAAGATTTGTCATTTTCAGAATCGACAATAGCAAAAGCTAACGGATATAGATGATAATCCCCATCTTGAGCTGTAGCTACAAGAAAAGTTCCCTTGAATTTTGCCTTTAGGAAGGTGCCATCAACAGCAATCACTCTACGCATCAAAGCAAAACCTTTGAGTGACTGGCCATACGCTACAAACACGTACCTGAATTTATTACTCAAAGGATCAACGTCAAGATACAAAACTGATCCGGGATTTTTTGCCTTGGTCATAAACAGCCACTTTGCAATGTTGTGATAACTATCTTCAGGAGTACCTCTAACCAAAAGTTCAGCTGCCTCTTTTACTCTCCAAGCCTTTTTGTAGTTTATGTGAACACCGTATGACATTCTAACCCTTTCTAAAATCTGTTTTGGCTTCAGTCCAGCCTTCTTCTCACCATAGTGACTGCAAAGGAAAGAACCCAACAAATTTGCAGTAGCTTGACGGTGATTTGCATGCCTACATGTTGTATCACAGTTATGCTCATGAATGTAGTGCTTTACCACAAAAAAATCAGAGGATTTCACCTTCGCTGCACGAAGTCTCCAACTGCAAGTGACATCTAAACACCCCAAAATCAATCTAGTTCTATCTGACCATAATGTCCTATACTCAAAATTCCACTCAATCGCCCACTTTCTCATCCTCATCACTAAAGCATATTTGTTAACGAAATGCTTTCCCACAAATATATGATCAGTCACTTGAGTGTGATGAGTATAGCCTATTGGAATACAATCAGGAAATCTTTGTTCAGCAGTTGATAAAGTATCACTTTGTAATACTGAAGTTGAGATGCCAGTATCACTAGATTTCTGATTAGCCTACAAAATAAGCACATATTGGCAAACATTTAAAGTTCTAAGAATGTTGTCGTGAAACGGTTCTAAAAATCAGTAACCTATACTAGCAAGCAGACCAATATTTGATGGAAACACATATCATTCTCCATAAATAAAACTGGGAATGACTTCTTAACTAACATGATACTACCTAAAACATACAAATTCCGTCTTATTTAGTTCATTCTAAGACATACAAAAACGAACTATATCCTAGAATAAAACACTTTAAAACACTAATGAAGCTCATGAATTTTTGACTAAGAGATAACCTACCTTTAGTTGTGAAAAACCAGAGGAAGAAGATGCAACACCTTTCGAAAGTAGCAAACTGTCTTTACATTGGTTGGTCTCTGAAAAATTATTCTGAATGTTGCTCTCAACATTCTCGATAGGCTGACACACCTACAAACATAAAAGAAAGTCAAGGAAGACACATATGTACAAATGGTGATTTTACTTTGCATTTAAGAAAGATTGATAGAATTTACTTACCGTAACACACAAACGGTTAAATTCAAAGTCTTCTTGAACCTTCCTGATAAAAGTTTGAACTTGACGATCATTTCGCAAATACAAAGGTGGAGGATTTTTCATTTTCAAACTTGGAGAGAGTGCATAGCTAAGTTTTAGCTCTGTGATCACACAATCTAGTCCGAAATCTTCTATTACCATCTCAG